TTGTTTTCAGTTTTCGAGGATTCTGTTGGTATATTTTTTTGCTCAAAGATTGTTTCCTCAGCCGTGTCCAGTCTACTAATAAGACCATCAAAGGCATTCTTCATCTCTGTTTACATTGCTCACCTGTTCTTATATCTTGTCTACTTTATTTGTTAGAACCCTTAACATATTAATTATAGTTGTTTTATATTCCTGGTTTGGTAATTCTACCATCCCTGTCATGAACTTGCTGACCTTGTTCTGAACTTGCTCTGTGTCTTCCAATTATGTTCTGCCTTTTGGTATGGCTTGTAAGTTTTTCTTGATAGCTAGATATGATGTATTGTGTAAAAGATATTGTCCTAAGTAGGCCGTTAGTAGTGTTGTGGAGAGGTATTGGGGGGAAGGGAAGTGGTCTCTCTTTTTTTTTTAAACCCAATGTATTTATTTAAAATATTCATCACAAGGGCTCAACCAGAGACTTAATTTAAAAAACAGAAACAAAACAAAAATGACACCACAGCTTAAGATACAGAGTCCTAGACAGAAATGAAGAGAAAGACTACCTAAGGAGAAAATAAAAAGACAACACAAAGAGGCTGGACAGTCAGGGATCTTGGCTGGAGACCTGCTTTGAGTAGGTTTCTTGCAGATACTTCTTAAAGGCTGTGGGGTTTTTCCAGAGCTTGGCAGCATGCGTGTGCAAAGGACTATCAGTGTTTGGTTCTCCTAGCAGGCTCTGGATGGACAGCAGGATGGTCCTGACATTATACAGGGCAGACCACTTGTCCTTCAGGATGTCCAGGCAGATGTTCCCTGTCTACATTGCGGTGGTAGCAGGGTGTGAGGAACTTCACCGTGGGCGGGTTGTAAGGGTAGCCACTGGGAAACTCCAGGGAGAGCTTATACCTCAGGTCTTCATATACTGTGCCTGCTGCCCCATGGATGGTCCCCACCCATTTGAAAAGGTTGTCGAATTCAGGGAAGGCAGAGATGCCTTTGTCACCAGACATCATGAGGGTCATCAGCTCCTGCTGCAGCCTCTTGTCCACGGGGCCCCGGGCGGCGCCCCCACTGGGCTCGGCTCCTTTGTGGGGTGGTGGCGACACTGGCGGCAGCTGGGTCGGGGTTCTGGGAGGCCATCCCGGGCTGCGCGAGGAGGGAGACAGGAACTCGGAGAGCATGACTGCAACTCAAGTGGTTTCTATTCTTGTGATTACGTCTCAGGATTTTAGTGAGCCTATGCTTCTGGACTGTGAAGTTCACAAGTGTTTCAAAGTTTTTTTTCCCTTCTAGTTAGATGGACTGGATGGCTAGACTTGGCTGCAGTTCATTATTTACCTTCTCCCAGTTTAGTTAGGCTCTGATAATACCCCAGTTGGTTAGGCTTTGGTTAAGTAGTTTCACCCGAGAGCAGGCCTTATTGAGAAGGCTAGAGTGCACTGGTGTATTTCAAAGTGGTTCCTTTCTATACCTCCCCCTTCACATTCAAGTTATGATTGTATTTCCTGATAAATTGAATTTCTGCATGAAATATAATTCCTTTTGAAAAAGTAAAGCAAGTAAGTCAATTAAAAAATCTTGACGAAGGAATATAAGCAGTTAAATATTGATATAAGAAAACAAAATCTAAAAATAAGTTGTCTAGAGTGAGAAGAAGGTTGGCACCATTCTGGGTTTTAAAAACAAGAGAAAACCATAATGATATCTTTGGGAGTGGGTAATGACTAAGGATTTAGGTTTTTCCAGCAAATTTTCCTGTGCTCTGGAAAATACAAGATTTTGTATGAAAAACTTTCTTGCACTCTTGGAGGCCAAAGATTATCCAAATACTGCTGTTTCAGTTGCTCTGTTGCCAGATGCAGTGAACTAGCAATTATTAACTTTTTCTTTTGTTCTTTTTTATATAACTGATTTTCGTGTAAATACTTTGTAAATATGTATTTCATAAATATGTAGAAAAAGATTGGTCACATAAACTCTAAAAGTAGTATGTTACTTGTGGGAAGTGAGATAGGGAATAGAATGAAGTGGACCTTTAATTTTTTTCCCCTGTGTGTTTATATATTTGAACTCTAAGAAAAGAGTTATTTGTTCTTATAGCAGTTAAAATCAGAAAGGGAAAACGTTGTATAGGAAAATAAATTATTTTAAAAATTCTTATATACTGTTAATCCTTATGATTTAAAGCAGTTTTTTAAAAAGTAGAGATACAGAACTGATTGTGGAAACAATATATCTAGTATATAACTTTTAGAAATATTTAAGTGTTCTGTATTACCTTGTTTTTTAACATTTTTTAAAAAGATTTTATTTATTAGAACGAGTGGTGGGGAGGGCAGGGAGAGAGAGAGCGAGCGAGAGAGAGAAAGAAGCAGACTCCCTGCTGAGCAGGAAGCCCTTTGCGGGGCTCCATCCCAGGACCTGGAGGTCATGACCTCAGCTTAACCGACTGAGCCACCCAGGTGCCCCTGTATTACCTTGTTAAATGAATTATCAACTGAGTCTACTCTCCAGGGCCTTGAAATACAGAATATTATTTGTGGTTTGATTTTTTTTTTTTTTGAGTATTTTAGATGGCTCCTTGCTTATAAATATCTTTAGTCAGTATAGTTTTATTTATTTATTTTTTAAAAGATTTATTTATTTATTTTAGAGAGGGAGAGGAGAGAGAGAATCCTAAGCTGACTCTGGCTCAGCGCAGAGCCCAGCCCGGGGCTCAATCCCACGACCCTGATATTGTGACCTGACCCGAAACCAAGAGTCAGAGGCTCAACCGACTGAGCTATCCAGGCACCCCTAGTTAGTGTAGTTTTAAAGTGTGCTCATTTTCTTTTTTTTAAAGATTTTATTTTATTTATTGACAGAGAGAGAGAGAGAGAGAGAGAGAGAGAGAGAGAGAGAGAGAAACAGAGTATAAGCAGGGGGAGCTGCAGGCAGAGGGAGAGGGAGAAGCAGGCTTCCCGCTGAGCAGGGAGCCCGATGCGGGGCTCGATCCCAGGACCCTGGGATCACGACCTGAGCCGAAGGCAGACGCTTAACAACTGAGCCACCCAGGCCCCCAAAGTGTGCTCATTTTCAACCTCTGTAGTTAGATTTCACTTTCTCTAACCACAAAGATTAGGGGAAATGTACCACTCCCAATCTTCCGAATCCTAAAGTGAATTTTCTGGGGTTTTGTTGATCATGATAATGACAGCTGTGATCTGTGTTCTCTTAGGAATTTTTTTCCCCTCTAATATTTGATGGCACTGTTAAGATAGAAATACGCAAAGGTCAATGTTATTTTACTAATAACCTTAAAAATTCTTATTTCCCTATGTCATTCTTTTCATTTAGCTTATTCCACGTGTCAGCTACATACCTGGAAGAAATAAATGTTCCCCTTACTCATTAGATTTTCTCTTTTCCCCTCTTTATTCATTTTTTTATTATGTGAAGTTTTTTGAGTACTTATTATCTATCAGGCACTGGGGATAGAGAACAGGTAGGCCAGATTCCTGCTCTCATGAAGTGTAAATACATCCTCCATCCTCATAGAGGTTACAGAAAATCAACGCATAAATTATTTCAGGGCACCTGGGTGGCTTAGTTGGTTAAACGTCTGCCTTTGGCTCAGGTCATGATCTTGGGGTCCTGGGATCGAGTCCCCTGTTGGGCTCCCTACTCTGTGGGAAGCCTGCTTCTCCCTCTGCCTCTCTCTGTTTCTCATGAATAAATAAATAAATAAAATCTTAAAAAAATAGTTTCAGGTAATGCTAAGAAAGAAGTGATTAGGGCTGGTGTAGCCCTAGTGTATGTGGAATTGGGCAAGATTGCAACCAGAGGACTGTATATCAAAATGTTTAAATATTGTTTAAGAACCAAGCTACACCCTTGGCACAGTCTTGAGTTCCCATGCTGTCCACTTACTTCCCAGGGCTGCATCCTCAAGACCCAGAGGCTAAAGGAACTGTTGTTTTCTTATAGCCAGCCTTTCTACTTGTTAGTCTGATTAGTAGCATGGATATCTTGGGACAGGGCAAGGATGGTTGAGTGGTGCCTGGACCCATCAAAAACAGTGTGAACTGATTGTCTCAGGTTCCTAGGAATCCAGTATAGAGAGGTTAACCTCTTTAGGTCCTTGTTTTTCCAACTCAAGACTTCCAGGAAATTCTAAACTCTTCCCCAAATTGCACTTCCCAAGAAGAAAGAAGGGAATGCAGGTATCTGGGAAACATGGCTTTCCTAGGCAGTCCTTCTGGTGGATTTGGGGCAGACAGCTTTAACTGATGAAAGTTTTTATGAGGAACCGTTCCTTCTATGATTTCTCAGGGCAGAAGCTGTGGTGATTTTTCTGTTTTCTCTGTAGATACTGGGGTACCATTAGTTCCTTCTCCTTTGGCCTGGGGTGGGGCGGGGGTGGGGAAGACCTCTTCCAACTATCGCCTCTCCCTTATAATTTCCATTTGCTCGATTGCTTACTGAACTTTCAAAAAAAACACAAAAAACAAATCAACAACAACAAAAACACCAACTTCTTGTAAGGCTGAAAGAGAAGAAAAAAGTCTTTGTTTTAGTGATTGTGCTATGCAGAGTGCTTTAAAGTGTAGGCCTTTGGTAGAGGCTTCTCTTGCCTAGATCTAAGGGTGTTACTGGACTGAAAATGGAGGTGACCACAGACCATTCTTTTACATGCCTCTCTTGACTTTTCCCTATCCTGCTACCTCTGAATCTGAATAGCCCCCAACACAATTTCTTTTAATTTGTAAATTTGTTTAATTTGTAAAATGAAACTGGTATCCCTTGGGGTACCTATGTCTAAAATATAAGCTCCAAAGGAAAATAAATATCTAAAAGTTTTTTTTTTGTGTGTGAGATTTTTAAGTAGCAATGATTAATTTTCTTATCTCTGCTCCCCTGCCAGAAAAACGCACCCAAACAAAAAACCACCAAAATAACAACAAAAAAGGTAAACTATATACAAATTGTTGTGGATTTGAGTATTGGCTTAAAGGTTACCTTGTATTTTCTCCTTACAGGTGTGAAAGTTGTGTGGATTTACTGTTTATGAGAGGAGCTGGAAACTGTCCTGAGTGTGGCACTCCACTTAGAAAGAGCAACTTCAGAGTACAACTCTTTGAAGATCCTACTGTGGACAAGGAGGTTGAGATTCGGAAAAAAGTCCTAAAAATGTAACTATTATTGTTTGAATGATTCAGTATACAAAGAGGACTTTAAGTATTATTTCAATAATTGCTATAATTATTTACGGATGGAAATATGGACAGTTTGGCAAGTGAATAAATGCACAAATTTGTCTATGCATTTGTTCAACAGAAATTTATTAAGTACTTGAAGAATAGTTAACTAGCCTTTGTTAGAGAAGAGTAGATCATTTTGAAGATAGCTTTACAATTTGTTTATTTACTATTTATTTTTTAATTTAGTTAAATACATATTGAGTACCTACTGTGTGTGAATGCTGTGTTATTCATATTAGGCATTAGGTATGAAATGAGTGAAATAGCTATGAACCTTGCCCTTATAAGGCTTACAGTATAGTAGTATAGCATAGCATGGAGATAATAAAACAGGCAAACTAAACAACTATATGATTACAAATTGAGAAGAATGTTACGAAGTTAGTGACTGAGTGTTGGTGTGGGTCACTGATATCAGGTGGGGCCTGTGAAGGTATCATTTAAGTTGAGATTTGAAGTGTGCTAGAGAAAATAATGTGTTAGCTATAATTTATTTTCATATATATCTGTGTGTGTACATAATATATTTTTAACATTATCTTTTTCATTCATGATTTAGTTTTTACTCTCTTTTTTTTAAGATTTTATTTATTTATTTGAGAGAGAATGAGAGAGAGAGCACACAAGCAGGGAGAGGGGCAGAGGGAAAGGGAGGAGCACACTCCCCGCTGAGCAGGGAGCCCGATGCAGGGCTTTATCCCAGGATCCCAGGATCCCAGGATCCCAGGATCATGACCTGAGCTGAAGGCAGACGCTTAACCGACTGAGCCACCTAGGTACCCCTAGTTTTTACTGTTTGTGAACAATTTTGGGTTTTATTTTATCTGTCCTTTTATTAAAAGTCACCTTATTGTTTTTGAAGTTTAACAAATTAATATATAAACAATGTATTACTATTATATTTTTTGGTGATATATGTTTCAACCTAGGTCACCAGTGTTTTAAAGATTTATTTATTTGAGAGAGAGAGAGAGAGAAAGTGAGTGCAGAAGTGGGAGGGGCGGGGAGAGGAAGAGAGACTCTCAAGCAGACTCCATGCTCAGCACAGAGCCTGATGTGGGGCTCGATCTCATAACCCTGAGATTGTGACCTGAGCCAGAAGCAAGAGTTGGATCCCCAACTGACTATGCCACCCAGGTGCCGCCTAGGTCACCAGTGTTTTAGCAGCATCTTTCTAGGTACTTAACCTGTGTTACTTTATCAATGTCCCAGGCTGCTCTTTTATTACTTGTATTGCTTCTGGGAGATAGTCTCTTTTATTTTATTTTTTTTAAAGATTTTATTTATTTATTTGAGAGAGAGCAAGAGCATGAGAGAGAGCTGAGAGAGAGAAAGAGAGCACAAGCAGGGGGTGATGTAGAGGGAGAAGCAGACTCCCCACCCAGCAAGGAGCCTGATGCGGGGCTCAATCTCAGGGTCTTGGGATCATGGCTTGAGCCAAAGGCAGGCATTTATTTTTTTTTTATTTTTTTATTTTTTTTTATTTTTTAAAGATTTTTTAATTTATTTATTCATGAGAGACAGAGAGAGAGAGAGAGAGAAGCAGAGGGAGAAGCAGGCTCCCAAGCAGCAGGAAGCCCGATGCGGGACTCGATCCCAGGACCCCGGGATCACGACCTGAGCCGAAGGCAGACGCTTAACCATCTGAGCCACCCAGGCGCCCCAAAGGCAGGCATTTAACCGACTGAGCCACCCAGGAGCCCTAGATAGTCTCTTTTATATTAATTTTTTTTTTTTATTGATCCCTTGTAGTTTTCTAATTCTTCACAGGTACATTACAATATTTATAGAATTTCCTGATCTGATATTCTTTAGACTACAGTTGTCATGAAAAATTGGAAGGTGTTTTTTGAATTAATTTTTAGCTTTCTGAAAATTAGCAAATCTAGAAGAAGTAAATCAGGCTCCTAATTTCTTTCTTTTCCTTAAGTTTTAGAAGGATTTAACATATTTTATCATTCTCTCTTAATTCTATTCCTTCTCTGTAATCGTAAGAATTTAAGAACAACATTCTTGGTCTAGTTATAAACATGGTGTCAAGAAAACAGTGTTTTACCCAGTAAGTAATAAGCAGTGCTTTTCTATGTATCATGAATAAAATATGTAAGAAGAAACAAACCAATTAGATAATATTGAAAGCAAGAGATATGTAATGTGTTGAATTTTTTCTTCTATTAAAGATACAATAAAAGAGAAGAAGACTTTCCTAGTCTAAGAGAGTATAATGATTTCCTGGAAGAAGTGGAAGAAATTGGTATGTTTTTTGATGCTTGTACTTTTGGTGTGCTACCCTGTATGCTTTTATCTTTTAGATGCCTAAAAGATAAACATCTCATATAAAATCTCTAACAAGTTTTATTGTGATAGCTGATGTTTTATCTATTTACTTTCTGTTGTACTTGAATCATGTTTGTTAAATTGAAGCCATACGTAAGTAAAGGACATACTTAAGTAATAAACATTTTGTCTCAGGGAAAATGGTATCACTGTTTTTTTTCCCCCCAAGATTTTATTTATTTATTTGAGAGAGAGAGAGCACAAGCAGGGGAGTGGCAGAGAGAGAGGAGAAGCAAGCACACAGAGCTTGATCCCAGGACCCCGAGATCATGACTGGAACCAAAGGCAGACACTTAACCGACTGAGCCACCCAGCCGCCGCAGTAGTATCAATTTATAGCTGGGAAGAAAGGCTGTATCTGTATATATCATTTTTATGTTGAGGAGGTATTAGAGTCAACACAAGGAAAAAGTACACAGATTTTTTAAAAATAGGATTTCTGTTATCTGCCTATGGTGACTAAAGCCATATGTTATCATTTATGTCTCTGTGCATACAGTAGTTTGAAAATAGTTTGAGGGTGCCTGGGTGGCTCATTTGGTTAAGCGACTGCCTTCGGCTCAGGTCATGATCCTGGAGTCCCGGGATCGAGTCCCACATCGGGCTTCCTGCTCAGCGGGGAGTCTGCTTCTCCCTCTGACCCTCTTCCCTCTGACCCTCTTCCCTCTTGTGCTTTCTATCTCTCATTCTCTCTCTCTCTCAAATAAATAAATAAAATCTTAAAAAAAAAAAGAAAAAAAAAGAAAATAGTTTGAAGCAGTTGACTATTGAAGTGGCATTCTTTTATTTAGTATTATTCTAGACTCAGAGTTTAGAGTAGTTTTAGCTCCTTTTCTTTCTTTTGTGATTAGTTAAAAGGAAATGTTCATCAAAAGAAAGAATTATTTTTTTTAAAGATTTTTTTATTTCTTTATTTGACAGAGCACAAGCAGGGGGAATGGCAGGCAGAGGCAGAGAGAGAAGCAGGCTCCCTGCCAAGCAGGGAGACTGATGTGGGACTCAATCCCAGGACCCTGGGATCATGACCTGAGCTGAAGGCAGTCGCTTAACCAACTGAGCCACCCTGGGCGCCCAGAAAGAATTCTTTTTGCTTTCTTTTTTTTTTTTTTTTTTTTAAAGATTTTATTTATTTACTTGAGAGAGAGAATGAGATAGAGAGAAAGCACGAGAGGGGGGAGTCAGAGGGAGAAGCAGACTCCCTGCTGAGCAGGGAGCCTGATGCGGGACTCGATCCCGGGGCTCCAGGATCATGATCTAAGCCGAAGGCAGTTGCTTAACCAACTGAGCCAGCCAGGCTCCCTCTTTTTGCTTTCTTAAATAAGATTTCAGAGATGTTAAAAAGCCTGGAAGTTGTTATACATCAATTTAAAAAATTAATGTTTTTTTATAGCTGCCATAATTATTATTAACCAATGCATGTTTGGAAATGAGACAAAAATTACAGACTGTGAAATAAGAATGAGACTTAGAGAATTAAATCATCTTTTTTACTCTTCTCTCAAACCTGATAGCCAAGCTGTACTTATGTTATTTCGTATTTAAAATATGAATATAACAGATTGATCATTCTTTAGAAGACCGTTTTTATATGGAAAATTTTTAGAAAATTTAAACTCTTGAGGAATGGAATATTCTAATGCCTTTAACTTCTTTATTAACTGAGAAAAACCCAGAGAATCTTTTTATTTCAACTGTTATGGAAACTTTTCTAAAATATCTAAGTTCATTTGTTATGTCATAGCAAATAGCATGTACAGAATATAACTTAAACTTTTTCGGGGATCATTTAGTGCCTAGGGGCCATAGTTTTTTCATTCTGATGGTGTTCATTGCACTTTATGTGTAATCTTAGCAACCATCAGTGGCTTGGATTTTAGTTGAAAAAGTGGTAGAATTGGGAGTGCCAAGTCAAAGTAGAAAAGTATGATATTGACTGAGAAGATAAACCAAAAGAAATCTTTAAGAACTGGGCAAGTGTAGATCTCTGACTAGATCTATAGAATATACATATTAAGTATAGGACAGACAGTTGGATAGTAGCAGGAATAAATCTAGTTCATGTTTATTCTAAAGGCAATGTGATTAGGTAAGAGTCTGGTCAGGTAATAAAGAGAAAGGAGATTATAGATGTCAGAGAGCAAGGTGTAATACATGGTTACAAGTCCAAGTAGGAAGGTAGGATGGATAATCTAAAGAAACCGATGGACAAAGAAGGTGGGGAAGGGAGGTGGGGATCTTGATTCTAGAATAAGGTTCTGGTTGAGCCATTATTTTTAAACATACATATTTTTTCTATGGGATGAATTAGTTGGAAGATATGAACAGCTGGGGGCCCATAGGTAAGACCATGTTTATGTCCAGAAGCAGGAGCCATGATTGACAGGTAAGAGCAAGTCTGGCTATTACAGCTATACCATATGTAGTCCTTTCCTTAACAGATAAGAAAACAGTGGCTCAGAGCATTTAATTTGAAAGTGATTCTGCTATCATGTATATTCATGAAGGACTGTCTTCAGTTGCAGTTATGTTGAAGATTTCTTAACTTAGCTCCACTTAATTGACCCACTGGGGTAACTGACATTTCTCAGTCCTTCCATAAAATATACTGATTGAAGTCCAAAGCATAATGAATACGTGATGAACCTTGTTCATTAGAAGATGACAAGTACATCTCTGTACTTCTCTCACCAGTTCATTTATATACTGAGAGTTGTTTGCATTGGTAACCAGGCCTTCTTATTTATTTTACTTGTAATTATGTAATTTAATTAAGTAGTTTATGTGGTTGGGAAAAAAAGTACACACCTTCTGAAGGATTCTGCTTCTCAAGTTCTTACTCCACTTTAGAAAATGGAAACTGAACAATATAGATGACAAGTATGGTTTATATAAGAAAGAAGCAATTAAAGAAACTAATTAAAGACTAGACATTGGCTATAGGTCATTAAGTTAGAGAATGTATTTACTATATGTGTTTTAGGTTAAAATATTTAAGGAGTGTATATGTGTCTTTCCCTCCCTTAACAGACTTTTGTAAGTAATCAGCTACTAATCTTGATCATGCTGGATGAAGAGCAGTTCTGATTGTATTTGAAAATATTGATGAAATTTGGGGTCTAGCCTCTTTGACTTAGAGTTTATTTTCTGAACTTCAATTTAGCAGATATTAATTGTTCTATGTGAACTACTTTACTTGCAGGGCATATATGATCTTTGCCTTCAGTAAGTTCAAACTCTAAAGGGGGAAATAATTGTGTAAACTAATAACTAAAATATAATGCCAAAGTAGTATAGGCATTTATTTGTAAAGTGTTATGGGAATATAGATAACAAACAATTAATTCAACATTGAGAAATAGAAGTATAGTTTGATCAGAGAAGAGGTCATATTTGAATTTGACCTTAAAAGATGGTATAGGAGTTTACCAGGTGGGAAGAGGATGGAAGAACATTTCTAGCAAAAGACAAAATTAGCAGAGATATAAGGGTATTGAATATGTTGGAGAATGAGCAACTAATGTTATAGGTAAGTAGATCATGGGGAATTACTAGAAATGAGGCTTGAGAAACAGACTAGATCTGGGTTAATGGGAACTTTGCAAGCTAGGCTGTCAGGGTAAGATTTTATTCTATGGTCAATAGTGAGCCAGCACGATAGTGTGGTGGCAATGTGGAATATTGACAGGAAATCATTGAGTCTGGGAACATTTTTAAGGGGCTGTTACAGCAATTTGGATGAGAAGTAATGAGAGCTTCGAATAGGTAGTAGGGGAGTGGAGTAGATAAAGGGGATGTGTTAGACAGAATATTCAAGGACTAATTTGATATAGGTGGTGAGGTAGAAGGAGCAGGCAGGGATGAGTTAAATTGATGACCTTAGGAGTAGGATGGTATTAATCAAGAAAATAAAAGCTGGAGGACAGGCAGTATTTTTTATTGTTTTGTTGGATGGAGAGTGAAGCAATGAGAGAAAGAATAGTTTTAGCTCTTTGAAGTTTTGTTAGGGTGTGGCTCCACCTCTTAGTTGTGTGTCATTGTTTTGTTATGGTATAAATAAAACTTTCTTTTAAAATCTTGTTTTAGTAGCTATCTACTTTGTGTTTTATTCATGCTTTCAAAGATGATTAATTCAGTGTCTGTGATATCGGTATTGGATCTCTGTGTTAATCAAAAGTATAAAATGTTAATTTAATGGGCACATGTTAAGTGCCAGACTATGCTGTATTCACATTATCTCGAATAATTTTCACAACTCTGAGAGAGGCACTTTTATCCCTTATTTTGCATATGGAGAAGAGGTATTATACTCAGGATTACATTGCTGGTAAATAATGGAGCCAAATTTTGAACATAGGTTTTTCTGACTCTCAGATCCGTGAAAGTGCTTGCTAGTCTCAGAGTAGTTACTAATCTGAGTCTAGAACATGGGGTGCTAATTGGGGAAATAGTAGGAGATGAAAGAAAAAGAAGTAGATTGGGGCCATATTTTGAAGAACCTTAAAGAAGATCAAACTTGGGGCACCTGGGTGGCTCAGTTGTTGGGCGTCTGCCTTCAGCTCGCTCGGGTCATGATCCTGGGGTCCTGGGATTGAGCCCCGCATTGGGCTCCCTGTTAGGTGGGAAGCCTGTGTCTCCCTCTTCCACTCCCCCTGCTTGTGCTCCCTCTCTCACTGTGTCTCCCTCTGTCAAATAAATAAATAAAATCTTAAAAAAAAAAAGATTGAACTCAATAATAAAGGTCGAAGGGTGCTATTGAAGATGCTTAGGCTTAGAGTGAGAGGAATAGAGTTGGTAGGGTGGCTAAGGAGTCAGTGAGGATTTATAAATTGGGGATTGGTCATTTGGTTAAATAAATTTCATTTTGAATCCTTTCAACATCACAAATATAAAAAATTTAAGATACTGTAATTTTGAAAA